GGTTGGGAGAGAGACAGATGCCAGCCACAGCTAGGTGAAGAATCTCTGATGTGGTGGAAAACCGTGAAATTGTTCACTACCGGTCACTGAGTAAGCACAAGCGACTCCGTGCTTACCCTGCTTATTGGGTAATCTGACACTGAGTGGCTGAGTTTGTTTGGGTGCAATTTTTTGTGTTCATCTCATGTTTATCACCAGCAAAATCATGCATAAGCAAACACAAAATTCAGACATTGTTCAAATTGTCACACTGGAACAAGTCCACATTTTCAAGACAAGCACATGGCAGAACTGGCTGTAGAAACAGCATCACTAATTGTAATGCATTTGGCTGCCAAGCAAAAAGGTGCACAGTTAGAACCCACTAGCCACTCTGAGGAAGAAAGATGAGGCAGTCTGCTTTCGTGGAGACTGACAGCCTCGGAGACCCTGTGGTGCAGTTCCACTCTGTCCTCTAGGGGCGCTGTGACTCGCAATGGACTCCATGGCAGTGGGTGTGGTTTGGGCTTTGCTTCCGTGAAGACTGACAGCCTTGGAGACACTCTGGGGCAGTTCCACTCTGTCCTCTAGGGGCGCTATGGGTCGGAATCCACTCAATGGCAGTGGTTGATTATGTACCAAGTACTGTGCTAGGCACTGGCCCATGGTATCTAACTTAAGGAGTCCTGGGTGGTACCAACGGCTAACAGACACTTGGTTGCTAACTCACAGAATGATGATTCGAATCCACCCAAAGATGCCTCGGGAGAAAGTTCTGGTGAACTACTTCCAGAAAATCAGTCGGTGAAAATCCCAGACAGCACAGCCTTGCCCTGATAGACATGGGGTCGCCATGAGCCAGACTCACGGCACCTGGCCACTGGTTATGGAATATCATCCTTACCACCCCACCCTCAAGCTCCACGTCCTTACATGTACATCTAGTCATCTGGACCACATTCCAAACAGAGATTCCCAAGTCCCTGCACTCAGGGGTCCTGGGTGGGTCAAGGAATCACACTGGTAACCAGCACCCCGAATTCCAGGGCCCATGGCTGCAGACACCCCTGAAGAAAACGGTACTGCAGAACAAGATGTGTGTGGAGGGGCCAGGGCCATGTCCTCGCCGTCACTCTGCCCAGGGCCTGGTCTGGGAGGAGCAGTCAGATGAATGAATGAAAGCCATGTATCTTGTCCACGTCAACACATTCGCTGAATAACTGAAGGAGTGGACCCTACTAGACAGTGTGATCCTCATCTCACAGATAAGCAAACTGAGGCGTGAGCAGTTACGACCCTGCTCAGCTGCAGCTCTATCGGCCTGCAAAAGCTGGTCCTAAAGCCCTGTGGGTGGGCCACCCTAGATCCTAAGCAGACTCTCTACTAGCCTGCAGGGGTGCCTTTGGACAGGGCGCTTCCTCCTTCCGGCCTCGAATTCCTCATCAGTAAAGTTGTACAGACAGGAAACAGCAAATGGTGGTCCCTGGGCCGAGCCAGCCTGCTGCCTGTCTTTGTACGTAAAGTTCTGTGGGGACACAGGTTCACCCCTCTGTACACACCATCTGTGTGGCTGGTTACACATCACAGCTGAGAGTTAGAGCAGAGACCGTGTGGCCGGCAAAGCCCAAGCGCTTCACTACCTGCCCCTTTCTCTGTAAAGGTCCCTGTACCAGGTGAGCTCTGGATCCCACTGGGTGTGCCATTTTCTGAATCTTAACTTGCTAAACAAGGGGTAACCAGCTCCCTAACTCTCCTCCCCTCCTTCATGAGCAAAGGGAATTTTAGGGCTGAGTACACATGTGCACACACATGCACACATACATGTGCACAGAGATGTGCATATTTGCACATTACACAATACATGCACACATGTATACATACATGCACTGCACATGTGCACACATGCATACATGCATGTGCACACACGGGGCACACACGCACATGCATATGTACACATGCACACACATACAACCACGTATACACAAACTACAACTGGACATTATCTGAGTAAACTACCCGGCCTGCACTCAGCTCTGGCCGGCCTCGGGGCTGTGCCACATCTGGGGGCAGCCGTCCTCCCTGACCCCTGACCCTGACTGTGCCCTCTCGGCAGCCCACACCCACCACGGGCTGGGCAGCACTTGTTGGAAGCCCTCATTTCCCCTTCCTCCCAGGGGATGCCTGAGAAAGCTGTTTGTCTGGGCTGCTGAGGGCTGGGAGGTAAGGCCGTGAGCTTGACCTGAGAGTGAAGGGCACCAAGCCCAGACTAAACACCCTAATGAGCTCCCACAAAGGTCAAACAGACAATGAGACCCCGGCATGGGCTGCATTAAACAGGTTGGCCATTGTGGACCCCATCCCACAGGGGCGCCCCTGCAGAGAAAAGACCAGCATGTGTGCCCCATGGCATGGAGGACTGCCCCTCACAGTGGCTTCCTCTAGCTGTGCACTTGGGCCGCAAGCTGGGCCTTCTGATAATTGAACCAGACAGCCTGCTGGAGTCTCCTCGCTCACCTTCACACCCCCCCTCACAAATCCTGGAGGACAGCCTTGAATCCCAGCATCCCAGGTGCCTCTGCCCACTATGCCGATCAAGCCACGGCCACGTCCCACCGGGGTGGCGTTGCATCTGAAAGCACCCAGGGCCCTTTCACACCACTGGGTGGCCCTGTCACCCCTGCTTTGCGCCTTCCAACACACTAGGAATCCAAGGTCATTTTTGCCAAGCCCATGGTAACATCACCTCCACATGGAAGACTGAGAGTTCCCCCTCAAGTCAGGGGCAGGACAAGGACATCTCCCCCACACTGCAACTCAACAGAGCGGCTGGGGGGTGCAAACCGCTGACCTTTTCGTTAGAAGCTGAATGCTTTAACCAGTGTGCCACCAGAGCTCCTTAAAGGACCCTATGGGGCAGTTCCACTCTGTCCTGTAGGATCACTGTGAGTCAGAATCAACTGGACCCGCAGCAGGTAATCACTCTGTGGCCAAGTGACGGAAACTGGGGTAGAAGACGCTTCTACCAATCCCTGAGTCCACACTGCCCTCCACAGCCCACAGTGCTGCTCCATGTCCACTCCACTGGCCATGACCTACAGCACAGCCTCGGGGGTCCCAGGGGCATCATCTCATGCCGGGCCAATCCAGACAGCTAAGGAGGAAGAGTGGCCTTGGGGAACACCCAAAGAGATGCCCTCAAAGACCCTGGGCTCCTTCCAACAGCGCTGACCCCTCACCCGCTGGCCGGAGGGAGGACCACCAGGAAGGGAGAGGCGGCCGGCCGCAGGAGCTCGTCACTGGGAGGGCAACGGCATTTCCAGGAGGGCAGCTTGTGGGGGGTCTCCAGGAGGGAGGGGCAGACAGGAAGGTCTGGGACGTGGAGGGAGAAGAGAGGGCAACATGGGTGACGGAGCCCAAAGTTGGGGGGTCACAGGAGGAGAGGGGCCTGAGTGCAACAGGAAGCTGCAGCCCCTTCACTGGAGGAAAGGAAGGGGGCGGGGCGAGAAAAAAGACAGGACAGAGGTGGGGAGGGAGAGCTGGCAGGGACACAGGGCCACCATGAAAGGGCAGAGGCGGGGCGGGATACCAAGAGGCACACGGCCACCACTGGGGACAGAAACCCAGGAGACAGACAGACAGACAGACAAAAGCAGGAGGGAGGGGAGGAGACCACCAGCAGGGGAAAGACAGGAGTGGGGAGAAGGGTGGACAGAGCCGGTCCTCTGAGCTGGAGGGACACCCCCCTTTTACAGCAGAGAGGCTCTCAGAGAAAACCTGCACATGGACTCCAAGGAGCAGAGGTGAAGGTCCAAACCAAGCAAGGTACCCAAAGAATTAAAGCTGAGCCCCAAAGAAGCCAAAGCAAGCAAAGCAGAGAAGCTTCTCCCCCTCCTCCTCCCCCCGTCCATCTGTCTCTCTCTCTCCCCGCTCGTCTCTTTCTCTGTTATCTCTCTCCCCTCCCCCTCTCCTTCTCTCTGTCTCTCCCCCCCCCCCTGCCAAGAGTGAGGCTGACAGGTGGTGTTGCAGGTGACAGAGGGAGGAGGAGGGAGGGCCACTGCGGCCTGGCCCAGGCCTGCTCTCCATTAGGGCTTGCCTGGCCTCACAGCACAAATGCTAATTACGGTCTGTAGGTCACGTGATTTTGATTCCCATTTCCTGTCTCAAGAACAGACTGGAGTTTTGGGCGCTGGGCCAGGGCTAGGGGGAGGGCAGGAGCAGGAACCCAACTCGGTAGCTGACCAGAGACTGCTGCCAGAAACACAAACTCTCACAGAGGCTTGGCTTCAGCGACCACCACCACGTCTGCCTCTGCACTACCCTTGAGCCTTCCTAGCCGTGGGGTTGCCGACTTCTAACCAGGGCTGAGACCCTGGGCTATGGAGTCAGCAAAGCTGAGTTCAAATCCTGACACTACCACTCCTCCCAGCAGGGCGACCACAGGCAAGCCCCCCACCCTCCCCAACCCCACCTCGATTTTCTCATCTGTCCAATGGAAACGTGTCAGCTTATGGCTCTGGGACATGTTGGGTATGTGTGCGAGGTCCTCCACACAAGACTGGGGCCTACTTGGTAGCTGTGGTGTGTGGTTGTTGTCCTCGTTATTACTGTTCCTGCAGAGAAGGGATGGCCCTAAAGGACAGGGCCCCTCTCTCTGGAGGAAGCACAGTGGGTGAGTGTAAGGCCTTAACCACTGGGTGTGAAGCCTGGTTCAGCCTGAGTAGTCACACTGAGCAGTCACACTAAGCAGTCACACTGAGCGGTCACACTGAGAAGCCACACTGAGAGGTCACGCTGCGTATCCATGCTGAGAAGTCACACTGAGTAGTCATACTGAGTAGTCACACTGAGTAGCCACACTGAGTGGTCACACTGAGAAGCCACACTGAGTAGTCACACTGAGTGGTCAAACTGAATGGTCACACTGAGATGTCACAGAGTACTGGGCTCCACTTGTGTCCAGTCTTCTCACTCCTCTGTGAAATGGGTGAACACTCGCCCACCCCAGAGAATCCTTGTGCAGATTACATGGGGCTTAGAATCACGGCTGGCACATCAAAGACACTGGCTGAGAGTGAGATTCGGCCCTCGTCATCACCAATGTCATCGTCGTCACCACCATCACTGCTGTAGTCACTGTCATCACCATCACTCAGTGTCATCACCACTGTTATCACTGTACTGCCATCACCAACCTCATCATCACTGTCACCACTACTATCCTTGTCATCAGAAATAGTACTGTCATCATCACCCCATCACTGTCATCATCTTCATCATCAGGTCTCAAGATCTCTGGATCAATTGAGATTCTACTGAGGTCAAAGTGCTGGTTCTGTCTCACTTACCAAAAATATTTCTAGCCCTCCCTGGACTGACCCTCCAGATAGGACCTGATGTCTGACAGGACACCCCATGCACATAAGCCACACTATCAGAGCATCACCCATGTCTGCAGAACCACCTGGCTTGGAGCAGACTGGAGGATACCAATTAGAAGGCACCCTCCCTTTCACTTCCAAAGAAGCCACTGGTGCCTAGACCCAGAAACAACTCTCAGGGAACATGACTGGAGTCTACCCTTTATCTTCTTTTTAACAGGTAACAGACAAACCCTCTAAGCTCCCTGCACATGCCAGACAGGGTCCTGGATGCAAAGACAGAGGCTCCCTGCCCTCCAAGAGTTGCCATCTAACTGGTTGTTGTTGTTGTTGTTGTTAAGTGCCATCGAGTCGTTTCCGACTCATAGCGACCCCATGCACAGCAGAACAAAACACTGCCCGATCCCGCGCCCCACAATCCCTGCTATACTTGAGCCCATCATCGCAGCCACCGTATCAATCCATCTCGTTGAAGGCCTCCCCATCTTTCATCGACCCTTCACCCTACCAAGCATGACATCCTTCTCCAGGGAATGGTCCCTTCTGACAACATGACCAAAATAGGTGAGACGAAGTCTGGCCATTCTTGCTTCCAAGGAGCATTCTGGCTGCACTTCCTCCAGGACAGATCTGTTAGTTCTTTTAGCAGTCCACGGTACTTTCAGCATTCTTCGCCAGCACCACAACTCAAAAGCATCAACTCTTCTTCGGTCTTCCTTATTCATTGCCCAGCTGTCACATGCATACCAGGCGATTGGAAATATCATGGCTTGTGTCAGGCACACCTTAGTCCTCAATGAGACATCCTTGCTCCTCAGCACTTGAAACAGTTCCTTCGCAGTTGACTTTCCCAATGCTACACATCATCTAATGTCCTGACTGCTGCTTCCATTGGCATCGATTGTAGAACCAAGCAACGTGAATTCCTTGACAACCTCAATCTTCTCTCCATTTATTGTGATGCTGCTCATTGGTCCAGTTGTGAGGATTTTTGTTTTCTTTATGTTGAGATGTAATCCATACTGCAGACTGTATTCTTCAAACTTCATCAGTAGGTGCCTTAAGTCATCCTCACTTTCAGCAAGCAAAGTTGTATCGTCTGCATATCTCAGGTTGTTAATGATTCTTCCTCCAATCCTGATACCACGTTTTTCTTCATATAGTCCAGCTTCTCGGATTATTTGCTCAGCATATAGATTGAATAAGTGTGGAGAAAGGATACAACCTTGACACACTACCTTCTTGATTTTAAACCATGTAGTGTCCCCTTGTTCTGTTCGAACGACAGCCTCCTGGTCAAGGTACAGATTCCTCATGAGTACAATCAAGTGCTCGGGAATTCCCATTCTTCTCAATGTTATCCATAATTTGTCATGATCCACACAATCAAATGCCTTTGCATAGTCAATAAAACACAAGTAAACCTCTTTCTGGTATTCTTTGCCTTGAGCCAAGATCCATCTGACAACAGCTATGATATCCCTTGTTCCACGTCCTCTTCTGAATCCGGCTTGAACCTCTGGAAGTTCTCTGTCAATAGACTGCTGCAAACATTTCTGAATTATCTTCAGTAAGATCTTACTTGCATGTGATATTAATGATATTGTTCTATAATTTCTACATTCTGTGGGATCACCTTTCTTTGGAATGGGCACAAATATGGATCTCTTCCAGACAGTTGGCCACGTAGCTGTCTTCCAAATCTCTTGGCATAACTGAGTGAGTGCCTCCAATGGGGCATCTGTTTGTTGTAATATCTCAATCGGTATGCCATCCATTCCCGGAGCCTTGTTCTTCGCCAGTTCTTTCATTGCAGTTTTGACTTCTTCCTTCATTACCATTGGTTCTAGATCATATGCCACTTCCTGAAATGGATGAAGATCGATCAGTTCTTTTTGGTACAGTGACTCTGTGTATTCCTGCCATCTTCTCTTGATGTTTCCTGCATCATTCAATATTTTGCCCATAGAATCTCTCACTATTGCAACTCAAGGCTTAAATTTTTTCTTTAGTTCTTTCAGTTTGAGAAATGCTGAGCATGTTCTTCCTTTTTGGTTTTCAGACTCCAGGTCTTTGCACATTTCATTATAGTAATTGGCTTTGTCTACTCGAGCTGCTCTCTGAAATCTTCTGTTCAGCTCTTTTACCTTTTCATTTCTTCCATTTGCTTTAGCGATTCTCCGCTCAAGGGCAAGGTTCAGAGTCTCTTCTGTCATCCACTTTGGTCTTCTCTTCTTTTCTTGTCTTTTTAGTGATCTCTTGCTTTCTTCATGGATAATGTTCTTGATATCCTCCCACAATTCATCTGGCTTTCAGTCACTGGTGTTCAATGCATCAAATCTATTCTTTAGATGATCTCTAAATTCAGGAGGGATATATTCAAGATCCTATTTTGGCTCTCTTGGACTTGTTTTAATTGTCTTTAACCGCCCAGAGTAGCAGGCCGTCCATCTAACTGGAGACGTGGTATAAAGAGGAGGAGGTCTCTGGGGTGTGTAACTTGGCCTAAGCGTACCATGTTCCAAGTGAGGTCTCAAACACACACAGGTGTGTACAGAGGTGGGATTTAGTAACTCCAAAGACACTAGCCCCTTGCTGGAAACTTCTGAAAACCTAAAGGCTTCATGGACCTTCTTCCATGGTCAAGGGCACCAGGTAACGGACTCAGATCCCCTGTCCGCACTACTCCCCAACATGCAACAACTTGCAGGGTCCTTTTTTCATCCCTCCTCGTAGAGCCAAGGTGACACCAGATGGTGGCAGCAGGAAGCATTTTTCTCCCCAGATGGTCCTGCCCGCCCCTACCCCAGCCACTCTCGGCCTGCCATCTGTGCCCCTTGTGCCTACCAGGGCACCTGTGGCTGGGGCAGCCCCTGCACAAGCCCGGCCCCGCAGCACTAACCACTCCAGACCCCTTTCCTCACGTTTCCATCACGGGCCTGGAGGCTCGTGGGCAGAACAGCGTTGCATTTTAACCCACTCACCAGTCACGAGAAAACAAAACCCTTACAGTCCAAAGCGTGCCCAGAAAGACATGGGAAAGACGGGGAGTCAGACAAACGAGGGAGAAGCACAGTCCTTGCTTAAACTGAGATGGCACTCACACCACCACAGTCACCCTCTGAAAGTGGCCAATCTCAGGATTTTCAGTTTATTCACAGGCTTGTCATCACTACCACCTGGTTCCAGAACATTTCCATCCCCAAAAAGCAAGCCTAGAGTCACCCCCCAGCCCTCAGCCCCCACAAAGCTGCCTTCTGTCTTAGTGCATTTGCCCCCCGGCCATGTCATGCACACAGACCACGTGCTGTGTGATCTTTTGTAACTGGCTCTTTCCCTCATCACCAGGTTCTCAAGGCTCGTGCGTGTGGCAGCCTCGTGACCTCCCTTCTCTCGACGGCAGATGACCGTCCGCGGCGCGGGCGGGCCACACAGCGGCTCAGGCACCTGGGTCGTCTGCACTGTCTGATCCGTGAAACGTGCTGCTCGGGACATTCAGGCCCCAGACTCCGGGTGCATGTGTGTTCTCATTCCTCCTAGGTCGGGACTCAGAGCAGAACTGCTGGGAGAAATGGAGTCTGGTCCAAAGACCAGCCTGAGGTCTGGAGAAGACCAATGAACGAAAGACGCTGTGAGTGCTTCACCTGCACGTAAGGACCCGGCAGGGTGCAATGGCGGCCCATGGATATTGGAATCTGACTGTGGTGGTTCAGTTTGCGTGTCAGCTTGGCTGGGCCTGGTTGAGCGGCTGGGCAGCTGAATGGAGTTATTCCCCGTGATGAGACTGGTGAACAACTCCACGGTGGGATCTACTGGAACAGCTGAGTAGCTGCTTTGAGTATGTGGTCTGCTCCCCATATATAAAGAACAGCTTTGGGAATGGCCTCTAGCTTACGGTCTGCTTGAACCCTGCATGTAGCAGAGTCAATGTTCAGCAGCCTGCCATACTCTGCCAATCCTGGGACTCTCGACGGACTTGAATCAATGGCCTGCCGTGTGGTTTGGTAACATTGGGACTGTGCCTTTTCACCTGTCAACCTTGGGTTTGTCAGTCTCAGCAGCCTGCAGTCTGAGTGAAGAAAAGCCTCCAGCTCCACTATGCCAGGAGCAGGAGGCAGAGCTGAAGCCCAAGGTTGAGGAGGCTTTCACCCAGCCCCTAAGCCTGGCACTTTGAACTAGGACCTAAAGCATCCAAACTATAGGAGAATAAACTCCTGTTTGTTAAACCCACCCCTTTGTGGTGTATTCCTGTCAGACAGCACTAGGGTACCAGAACCGTGATGGACCTGGGTTGGAACTCAACCTCATCCTAGGCCAGCTGTGCACCCCAAGCAATGACCTGGCACCCCTGCGCTCTGTTAACTGGTTGTAATTACATATCCCATAGGCAGCTCCAGCTAAGAAAGGATCCAGTGTTAACAGAATTTGTAACGCTCATGGAATCCAGAGTTTCTGGAGCCAGGGAGGCTGGACAAACCCCAAAACTACTGTCTGAGATAATCTTTAACCCTTCAACCAAATACACCACCTAAAGTTTCCCTGAAGCCAAACAATGCATCAGGTTCACGAGGAAACAACGTCGTCCACCTTAGCACTGTGCTCTTTCAAGACCCAACTCTATGGGGTCAAAGTAACAGCAGCAGCTCGACAGACAGGTGAGACAGGAAGCTTGGGAACAGCGAGTTCACGTTCGTGGCGGAGGAACAACTCAGGCAGTGAGGATGACTTCACCGCTAAGGAACGCAAATGATGTCGCGGAGCCCTATCCAGAGAAATCGCTGGATTCCTGTAGGCTCTGCTGCACATATTCTCAACAATAGCAACAATTAAATTAAAAAAAAAGAGCCAGTGTTAGATACA